AAAAAAAAAAAAAAAAGAAGACATTTAGGCAGCCAACAAACACACAAAGAAATGCACACAATTAAGTCATACAAATCAAAATCATGCGATAGAATCCTACCCCAGCATTGATAACGAAGTTCAAATAAACTGCAGAATACAGCAAATGCTGGCGAGAGTGTAGAGAGACCGGAACCCTCCTACACAGTTGTTGAGACTGAAATGGTGCAAACACTGTTAAAAATTATATGCTGCACCCTCAAAAAGTTGGAAATAGAAAAACCCTATAACCCAGCAATTCTTCTAGTTGGTATATATCCTCATGAAATGAGAACCGTAACACAAATAGATATATGCACACCCATGTTTATAGCAGCACTATTCACAATAGCAAAAAGATGGAGACAGCCTAAATGCCCATCAACAGAATGGTTAAACAAACTATGGTACATAATACATACAACAGAATACTATTCAACACTGAAGAATAATGACAAATCTGTGAAACACCTCATAACATGAAGGAACCTAGAGGACATCATGCTGAGTAAAATCAGTCAATCGCAAAAGGACAAATATTGTATGAGACCCCTGTTGTAAAAAGTTAAGGAAAAGTTTTCTTGCTAAAAGAAACATTCTATGATGGTTATCAAGAGTGGGAAAGAAATGAACATTTTTTTCACTGGGTAGAGGGTTGTTGTTGTTAAGAACTTAGAGTCAGGTCTGACTCATAGTGACCCTGTGTCGGATTTCCGAGGAGTGAAGGTCGGTGGGTTTGAACCACTGACCTTGTGGTTGTCAGTCAAGTGCCTATCCTACAGTGTCACACCACACATATTAACATGTGTGATGATGCAGGCAATATACAACAAGAGAGAGGTTGGCACAGGAAGGATGAAGGTTGTGGAAGACACAGTGCAAGAGTTAAAGTGAACAGAAGTAAATACTATGAAATGATGATGCATGGAAGGGATTGCTATCATTCTAATGCCATGAAGTATATGATTTATTAAATGTGGGACTGATGATCTGTTCTGTCAATTCACAATAACAAGTTAAAATTTTTTCTTAAGTTTGGATTTTACATATTGTTTGAAATGGTACCTTGTGTGTGCATGCATGTTTCCTAGAAAAAGCAACAACATGATGACCAAGACCAATTAGAAGGTGAATACACAACTGATTACATTAACCTTGGTTCCATTACACTGGGAGAAGTAGGAATTCCTCAAGTGGAGCAAGTGAATTGGCATAGGCAGAAGCGAAGAACTCTCAAAGCAATGGCACCATTAAGAGGAAAAGCGACTGTGGTGTGAACTGGAGCTGCAGAAGGTCAACCAGAAAAGCCTGCCTCCCGCAGTTAGAATATATAATCAACTACCTTGTTCTTCCAGAAGGACTCGCACAGATGAGTTTTCTTCTACTTTTTTTCTGGCAGCTGCTTCTTCTTCTTCTGACCATTGCATATGGTCCCTAACAAAAAAATAAAGATTGTAAAACATGCTTTGTAATGAAAGAAGGCATAAAAAGGGTTGTAATGGACACATCTTTCATTTTGATTAGTCAAAGACAAATGACATCAACTCATGCCACGTTGAACGTAGTCTATTTTGTATCAGATGTTCCTTCTGATAGTGCTGGTACAACCCTGAAACTCCTACGGGGCTTCTGTTTCAATCTGATTGTGCTGTAATTACACCCCAGCCACCTCTTGGAAATGACTGTTGACGTACTGTCCCCAGAACGCTCTGGTGTCTGATTATATGGTGTTGGTAGAGTTTGTTGTATTTTTGCTTAAAGGTTAAATTTATTTGCCTTTTTGTTAATTTATGAGTGGCACATTCTTCAATAACTCTTTTTTTAATGCTTTTACATACTTGTATTCTAATATTCTGCTGCCAAAGAGAGAACTTAAAAATACTTTCCCTGTTTTTATCTTTTTTTTTTTTAAATTAACATTGGATTTTTTTTATTTTTATTAACTACCTTAACTATTGTCAATGGATTCATTTTGAATCCTGAAACAATAGGCTATTTGATGTTAGAAAAAAGGGTCACCTTTCTAAGATCTGGCACTTCCTGTAAATATTTTTTTATTTCAAAATGTACTCTCCTATTTATGCAGATAGGGAGACCTGACAACACAGTGGTTAAGCACTGAGTTGCTAACCAAGACGTCTGAGGTTCTAACCTGGCTAACTGCTAAGCACCATGGGAGAAAGCCATGGCAGTCCACTTCTGTAATGATTTACAGCCTTGAAAACCCTATGGGGTGGTTCTACTCTGGCCTGCAGGGTCACTGTGAGTCAAAATTGACTCTGTAACAGTGGGTTTGCTTTTGTTTATATGTATTGATATTATTTTCAGCTGCAAAATTACTTTCTTGGAATAGAAGCAACATTTAATAAAAATGCTTTTATTTTTCATTTGTACTTCTTTATTTTCAATAGGCAAGTCTATAAATGAGTGAAACAATTCCCTGGGATAAATCATTTAAAAAAATAATTTAAGAATCACACAATAAAATTCAACTTCTATACAGCCTGTTAACATGTATTAGAAAAAACCCTAGTGCAATTATCTATCAGATGATAGTTACAGTCATCTGACTAAAGAGAAAGGGATAACTTACAAAACTCTTGAGGGTGCATCATTGTTATTGTTTGTTGTTAAGTGCCATTGAGTGGTTTCTGACCCATAGCAACCCCTTATAGAGTTTCCAAGGAACAGCTTGTGAGCTTGAACCCCAGACCTTGTGGTTCAAAGCAACATTGCAGTCCAGTGCATCAACCCACAGTACCACACTATCATTATGATGACCAATAAACAAGCACTAAACATGATCATAATTACTACAATAATAATTCATTCATTATTTATTTGGCATCAGGTTCTGTGCTAAGTACATTACATACATATGTATTTCTTATTTAATCCACATAAGGAATCATAAATGTAGTATAACTTGCTCAAAGTCATATAGTTGGCAAATGGCAGAACCAGAATTCAAATCAAGGTCTGTCTCACTTCAAAATCCATCCTCATAACCATTAATCAATTAACATCTACCAAGGCAGTAAGGGATACTAAAATATTCAAGACACAATCCTTGCCCTGTATGGGTTTACAATCTAGTAATGCAGACATATAAACAGAAAGTAATTGGTTATACAATGCAGAATACATGGTTAGCTTTAGCATCTGGTGCATTAGAACGCAGCCAACACATGCTGACTTGAGCAAAAAGGAATGCTTAATAGAGGAGGCTGCAGTCCTGGTGTTTCAGGATAAGCACTGGACAAGATCAGTTTGAATCACAAGATTCAAATTCACCAGCTGCTCCTTGGAAACCCTATACAGGGTATTTATGAGTTGGAACCGACTTGACTTAACAACAGTGGAGGAGGAGGGTTTGGGTTCAGGTTAGGGGTTAGTAGGTGGGGCAATTCCGTGTGGTATTACAAAGCTAAGACTATCAATAGCCCACATGTGGCACTGTAGGATGAACACTGGAGTCCAAGGTCAGTTTGAACCACAAGGTTGGCAGTTCAAACTCACCAGCCGCTCCTTAAAAATGCTATACAGGGTCACTATGAGTCAAAACTGACAACAATACAGGAAACAATGAAAATTCTATTTTGGTTGGTTCTCTTGGGTAGCTGCCAATGAATTTGAGGGTGCAATGATCTCATTTCACAGGATCTTCAATGTGGGGCATGGCAGTTGAGTAGTGTAGAAGATATAATCAAGTAGTAGAGGATGGATGGAAGGCTGGCCAATTAGAAGGCAGTTATACAGTGGTCTAGAAACAATGAAAGCCAGAATTAAGCTGATGGCAATGGGAAACAGAATGGAAGAGTGGAGGTAGGGTGAAAATTTTTAGTTATGACTTGGAAATTAATTAGATGTTAGGAGAGAAGAAGAGGATGGGACAGGAATAATCTGAGGTTCTAAAACTGAATATCTGGGGAAGTAGGACTAACAATGACAGAATAGAGCTGGTTTGGGTGGAATGGTGATAAAGTTGGTCCTATTTTTAGTCATGTTTTATGCAATCAGATATGAGAGAATATTTTCCAGTGACCTGGCTATAAATACACTACTGAAAGGTGAGAAGCTGCTTTCTTTTGAGAAGGATCAAAACCAGTATACTGAAGTCCCCTTGAAAAGTAAATGCTAATTTAAAAATCAGTCTCATCAAAATTTCTTCACCAGTATGCCTAATAGACCAACTTGCTATAAGACAAATAATCATTAAGCAGCTTTGTCATGTGCTTTAATGAATGAAATTAGAGTACATTTCTGTTTTGACTTACTTTTATATATGTGAGTAATCATGTATAACTTGTAACTGAAAACTATACCTTATATGCTATATGTGTAAATATATACATGTAGAATATTGTTATGTGACAGTTATGACATTAAAGGCAACAAGCCACTAACTGAAAAAAAAAAAAAAATAGTATTGCTAACGCTGGAAACAAATTTCTAATATACAAATTTCTATACCATACAGGAAAGAAAATTGAACAATCCATTTCCCTGTGAAGGCGCATGCTGTGAGACAATGAGAGAGTATTTGGCCTTCAACTCTAAGAATTTGTTTTAAAACTGTTAGTTTAACTTGTTTCTTCCTGAGTATTTAATAGATTTAGTTATTTCTTAAATTGCTCTAACTTCCTTACACTGTTCTTTATGTTGCTTCATTTTCTTAACTGCTAAGTAAGGGGAATATTATACCCTAAGCTCCTGCAGAACAGATTTTTCCTCTGTGTAGTTACAGAATCCCCACAGAAATCTATAAAATGCTTCTAATGTATTTATGGGGACTTCCTCCAGACCTGCTGCTTTATGGAAGTTCTTTCTATTAGAAGAGTCTGATTCACGTGCACAAAATTCAACAGCCAGCAGTAAGAATCATTCATGTTTGTATAAGTAATAGACAGAGCAACCACAGAATTTAAGCATAGAGACAAGCAACTAATAAACTGAAAAATAATCAGGTATTCCACCAACAACAACACCAAAGGTGGGGGTGGTTGGGGTGAAGTTCATATTGTTTGACCTATGAATTGTACTTCTGAGAATTTATTGTAACAAAGTAACTCAAAAGAACAGAGATGTTAAATGTTGTATTCACTGGAACACTAAATGCAGCAGCAAATAATTGGGAACAATCTCAGTGAGAGGAGGGGGAAAGGCTATGACAACTCACTATTATGCAGGTATTTCAAATGATAAATATGAAGATGATGTAACCACATGGTGTTCTGGTATGGCACTATAGGATAAGCACTAGACTAGTAACAAGGTCGGAGGTTCAAACCTAATAGCTGCTCCTTGGAAGACTTATACAAGGTTGTTATGAGTTAGAACAGACTCAGCAGTACTTAACAACAACATGTAACAACATGGAAAAAGCGTTTATGAAATAACACATGAGGTTAAGAAAAGCAGAGCATAAAATTGTATATGTATCCTAATTACAACTATACAAAATTATATACAAATTGAGTGAAAATTAAGACAGTGAAATAAAAACCATTATGTTAGAATGATGGGAATAAGAGAGAACTGTCTTAAAGTTTTCTGAACTATTATAAAGCTGTTTCAACTAGAGATCATTTAAAGAAAAAAAAAAGCAACCTATATTTATATAAAAACTCTATTATATATTTAAGTTATCCATTATGGTCATTACAACTTTACATTATCCTTCTTGGGGAAAAAACAAATCTTTATGATTAAAAGGAAGATATGTTTTCTATTTTAGAAAAATCAAGAAAATTGAGAGAAAAAACACTGAATATTTTTTCGAGTAAAACACATTTTTTTATAACAAGCCTGGAATTAGTTTTAAAAATTCTATGATAGTAATCAGCCCTACAACCTCAGTTGTATACTGATTGTACAGTGATTAAGCACTCTGATGCTAACCAAAAGTTAAGGGAGAAAGATGTGTCGATCTGCTTCCATAAAGATTACACCCTGAGTATAACCTCCGAGATAATGGCCTTGAAGTCAATCTTCACATCTGGAACGGAATTCACCCTCATGGCTCAACTCTCAGATGACAGGCCTACAAGGTGAACAATACTCTAGAAAGGTACACACTCCTTAGAACAATTAATCATACAAGATTAAAAGGGTAGAATTTCCCCAGGGATAATGCTCAGAAAGCAGGAAGGGAGACAGAAGAAGGACAAATGGAAATGGCAAACACAGGGACGAAGTGGGAAGAGTGCACTGTGAGGACTACATCAACGTCATGAAATAAAATGCATATGAACTATTTAATGGAAAACCAATTTGGTTTGTAAACTTTCACTTTCACTCAAATCACAATAAAAAGTTAAAAATAAAAGATGAAAAAAAAAGATTGCACCCTTGGGACCCCTATGGGGCAGTAGTTTGTCAACTTGATGGTAGTGAATATATATGTTATAATATAAACATATAAAGAGCCGTGG